TTTTTTTTTTTTTTTTTTTTTGAGAAAATAGAATCCGAAGATTTGTCTATATCTACTATCTTAATGTATACATTTCTTTGCAGAAACGTTAAGTAAATTTGCTTGAAGGAAATCTTTCTTTTCGAATCTAAAAATCTTTCAATTCTAAATTAAACGATTCAATCCTAATGAACGAAAAATTTTTATTCCGTATTTTAAATTTATTTTAGTGTGTAGAATAATTTTCAGTTAATTGTCAATTAATTATTGCTTAAATAACAAATGTGTCTCACAAATATCTGATAAACTTTCCAGCTGAATTTCCCCAATTTTCTCCAAGAAAAAAAGCTATTGTTCCGCATCTCTTCGATTTACATTCTCAGACAGATTCCAGACTCTCTGTCAAATCGTTTACAGCAGGTTACTGGTCACTGCGTGCGTAGAACGTAGAACGTGATCGATAAAGAATTTACTTGACACATTGGAACGAAGGTAGACAAGCAGTAGACGATAGAAAAAAAAAGTTCCCTCACATGTATGTATAAACAGAGAGAGGGAAAGTGCACCGTCGTTGAACTCTGACTTTTCCGAGTGCTTCTATCGTTTCTATTTGTTCCACCCGCCAGTTCGAGCAGCAACCGACAAGTTCATGCTCCTTAAATACCACGACGGATGCACTTAAATAACACGAAAGAATACGAAATCAGCTATACGGTTTATTCGCGAATCCTAGGGCTCAGAGTTAAAAAATTTCTTCTAGAGCGCGCTCTTGCGCGCCGCGAAAAATCGATAAACTCGTCGTTGTTGCTTTGCTTTTCGAAGTCAGGATTGCTAGCGGGTTGTCTTGGACGAAAGAAGAGAGAGAGAGACAAAAAATAAATATCGTATCACCGACGCGGAACGAATTTACGAGCGGCTCGTCTCGCGCGAGAAGATACCGACGAGTTTGGAAATAGAAAAAAATTCACGAGTGGCGGATCAAAAATTCAGGGAAGTATTTTTTACGCACGATACCGTTGTCTGAGTTTGACTACTCTGTGGCGTGGCCTTTGTACACGAGGAACGAGAAATTGATCGTTTCAGGGATCATCCATTATTTCGCGCCGAGATTTCGTCACGGCGATGAAATATTGTTCTCGAGGAAAAACGTTCTCGGGACAATTTAATCAAGCGACTGCTTTCGCGGACAAACGAACAACAAAACAGAGAAAGACCGAGATGGATGCACCGCGAGCAAACGCATTGATCGATAGGAGATCGCTTGAAGAAAAAGTTCGTCGCACGTTCCTTCTTCTTCTTTTTCTTCTTTCTGATTTCTCTTCGCTTCGTGATTTATTGCTGGTCGATTTGCTCGTCGACGTGTTTTGCCAATGACGACTGTCACGCTGGACTTTGACGCAGTGCTGTGCGCAAAAAATCTCGTAACGCGCGCGAAAATTATAAATTATCAGCGTTTCGAATGAACGCGCGAAGCGAAAGGAAGGCTTTTCCTAAGATACGCGGGAAAATATTTAGCCAGTATCGTTTCATTGCAATTTACGACCCAAGCTCTTGAATCCTGGCATTCTTGAAATTTTTCCTTTCACAACGCAGTTACAATTTTCGGCTTCGACTTGCGTTTACTTTGTCCTTCCCTTATTCGCGAACAATCTCTCTCGCTCTCTCTCTCTCTCTCTCTCTCTCTCTCTTTTTCTCAACGTCTGCATTTCCGCGTTTCGTTAAACGAGAACGAACGTTACACAAAGACAGCCGTGCGCGAGACAAACGGGCGGACCGACGACAATAATTACGCGCGGTCTTTGAAGATCTTACCACTCGCGGCGGTATTTTTCGCGACGCGTTTCCGCGAAATTGCACCCTTTTGCGCGTCGGACCGCGTCAGAAATTGCTAGCGCGCCGATGAACCACCACAGAAGGAATACTCTATCGTTCCCCGAACGAAAAACAGAAAACAAAACTGGCTGACACGTCGATCGAGGGTTTTTTTTTTATTTTTTTTTTTTTTGATGGAGTTACCGTTCGAATTGAAAAGTGACTCTGCGTCGTCAGCCACTGAGAGATAATTTCGCTGGACGTACGAACAACGATTTGCAACGGCGTGAATTTTTCATCGTCCGTCGAACGTGCGAGCGTGCACGTTAAAAGCGATTCTGGTTAATCCGCGGGATCTTCCGATGGTGGTGGTCTGTTCGGACGGTACGCGCGCATGTGTGCGTGCGTGAAGTAGAAAACGCACGTTCGATACGGGCAGCAAACGAGGGAAAGGCACACGCTGAATGGTAATTTATGTTCAGATCACGCAAATTTCCCGTTCGGCCATTAATACGGTGAAAAATAGCCGCGTCGGCGGTGAAACTTCTTCGCGTTTTATCGATCCGCAACAGCCTTCTTGTATTTTCCTACGGGTGATTTTGATAATTTCTTGTCTCTCAACAGATTTATTTTTTCTCACCTCTTTTGTCGCACAGAATATAGAACTTCACGATTTCGCTTGAAACTTCTCGCAATTGGAATTGCTATCTTCTCCCTCGAATTTTCAATCGCTTGGACGCGATATCTTCACCTTTATCTTGGGCGTTTGTCAAAAAATGCATTCAGTTATATTTCGCAGGGCTGAAATCAATCAAATTGGAATCGAATACCTTTATTTTAATTGTGGTTCAATGACGAGGTGATTGACAGATTCACTTTGGATCATCTGAATCTACGATGGATGAAACTTCATACGATTAAAATTCATAACCATTTTTATTAATATATTAATAATGTTAGATTAAGATACACAATTTTATTTAAGAAGTCAAATAACGTGCGCTTAAAGTATTTATGTTCTTCCACTTCCCTTTGCACGATGTATAATCCGAGGATCTTGCGCTAAATTAAGTATTAATAATAATCTAAATATACCATAAAGTGAAATTGAAACAAAGGAGAGTAACGATTAAGGAAACTACATTAAAAAAGGACGCGATAATTTTCACACTAAACTGTCAACTAGCTGTAGGACTTACTTTCGTTATGGTTCTTAATGTGTTATCGCGGTTTTTTCCCAAGTTTCTCGTTTATTTTCCGCTGTATATATACTTTTCAGTGCAGTATCGCTGCACATTCTGCAATGCTTAAAAGACGGTTGGCCCCGACCCTCGCGATGCCTCGAGCGGAGCAACCACTCTAAATTAGTGGACTTCGAAATTAGTTAATTAACCTCGTTAAACATCCCCGTGTTTCTCTTTCTTTCGTTGTTATTTCTTAAATGCGCGTCGGGGCTGGATTGCCAGATTTTATCACTGCAACTTCCAAGTATTCAATTAACTAATTGCTCGGCAACTCTGCTTATTGGATTACGTTCAAGCCTAAATACAGAATCACCGTTAGACGACTCTATGGCAACCAAGAGAATTTAAAAATACTCAGAGTGGTGTCACGTGTCATTAATAGCGATACTAATTTCTTTTGCCGCTTAATGTACATACCAGTAACGAATTTAATATCAATGAATGAGTCCAACGGTGTTCTAATGTTCTTGTCTGACAAATTAAACCTGTTTTCCAAGTAACACTATTATCCCTTAGGAAAGCAACGTATTTTTAAACGCGAAAGGATATCGATGATCTTGGAATACTCAATCGGAGATTCTCGTGCCTGTAAAATTACAAAACACGTTTCCTTGCCGTTGGTAATTTCTTCTCGTCTCCATTATTCAGACGTTCGATTCAAACGAGACGTCTCGCGAGAACTACGGCGAAACCACGGTTTGCTCGAGCAAAGCTGAGAATCGCGCGTCAAACATCGTCAAGTTTCTAAACACGTTGTTTCAAAGATGCTTGGTCGCGTCTTCGCGAAACTTCTGTCCCTCGAGCCCGCGAGACCTGGCGAAACTCGCCGAAAATTTCGTCACAAAGGAAGGAGTAGAGATAACTCGCTCGACCGGTTAACGCGTAGCCCGGAGGAGGAGGAAGAGCTGTGCGTTCACGTGGCGGTCGCAATTTTAGGGGGGTGAACCATCCCGACCGAGCCGAGAGAAGACGAGGAGACGAAGACGAGGAGGAACAGCGCGATATTACACGGTGTCCGGGGTGCCAGAGGTATTTGTGAAAGAATCAGCGCGAGCGATCGCGAGGCGCGGACGCGCGCGTCGTACGTGTCGTGTGCCGGTCGATAAAATTCGATAAAATATTAACGAGCATCGCTCGGCGCGCTCGCATACAGCCGGCACACTGTGTGTGTTCCTTCTTCCGCCGCGAATCGAAGAAACGAGCCGAGTGCGCGCGGCTGGCATTGGAAGCCAACGGAAGAGAAGAAGGAGGTGAACGAAGCGTCGAGGAGAACGAATCGATATCGCGCCGGCGATCGAAAGCAGGACCGCGGTCGACGATAGCTCGATGAGATATAGTTGCAGCGGCGAATCGGCGAGACGATCGAGTCCGGTTCCTCCACACAGCGGAAGTCGAAGATCGTCGCTCTCCGTCGACCGCGATTCACATCCCAGTTTCCGGTTTCCGGCCCTGTTGGTTTCCGCAAATTATCGCGTGATATTGCAAAGAGAGAGGCTAGATACACGCGACCAGTATTCAATATGGTGAACGTTCGCGCGCTTTTAAAGGGGACGTGAATTCGCGTGGGTTCGAGATGACGATCGACCGGAAGGCCGTTCGATGATTCGCGGCGTGTCTTTCCTGAAAGAGGAGCAAGGCCGTTGGCAATCGACGCGCACGGTGAACGGTGAGAACACAGCCTCAAACATGCGTGAATCAGTGAATTCTGCTGGCAGACGATTACACATAGCCGCGATGCAGCCGACGGGACGCGGTACGTTTAGTGAAGTGCATCCTCGCGAGAAACAAACAAAGTTACCGCGTTACAGTGCCAGCGACATCCCGGCCTCGGCGGACCTGACTTGAGGAGCCAGGCGAAACAGATGTAAATGTCACTGAGAAGGTTGGTATCTGAACTGAACTGAAAGCGGAATTGAAAAATCTCTCGCGAGAAACGGCTGTGAGAGATAATTTTACTGATACCGAGAATTAAAGTACAAGGAATTGATACGACTGTAGATATAAACGAGAATTATTACGCATATATACCCTGAAGTGAACCCTCTTCTAACACGATTTATTCGTTCCGTGTTGCATCGAAACTTGGAATACGGAAACAGCGTGGTGGAAAAATTCGCGCTGTATAAGGGTTGTCCAAGTTCACATATTATGGAAATCGTGTTGTAAGAAGGCTGTCGCTATTTTTGCATTGTGTTTTGAGACGGTTGACCGTATAATATTCGAATGATGCTATGCCAGTCTCATAATTAAACTAGGAATTTTCATGCCAATTGTCTTCGTGAAAATAACTAAATACTCATTAAATCGTCAATTATACAAAGTACCTTTTTACATTTTACATATTCACGCATAATTTAAGCATTACATACTTATTAAATATATTCTCTGTATTTCATTGCATTTTCTAAAGAAATAGATTCTGAGCAAAGGTTCGATTCATCCATCAAATATTATTCAAATCTATACAGTCTGTACATTTACACATAATTTAAGCATTAAATACTTATTAAATCCATTCTGTGCATTTCCGTATCTCTAAATGTTCCACAAACATAAACATTTGCAGTGTAGTTAGAAGTTTGCTATCGCAACGTGTCGCCGGTGTAAGAATTTCGAAGGAGATTTGCCAGAGTATGGAACGCGTTTTCGCACAGTTCGGCAATGCTTGTTCTTACGTTCAAGCGCAGGTTCACTTCTACACGTACATATATGCTTGGTTCCCACACTCAACTGTGTATCCCGCGTGTATTACGGTTTCGTTTATTACTCATGGTTTATTCTTCTTTCCCGGAGGGATGTAGGTCAGAGCGTAGGAGGAAATTTGTCCTAAGGAGTGGATTCGAGGACGCCGAGGGCTTGATTTGTGTGGCTTCTGGTTCGTTGTCGAATTTCGAAACTGGGTGAACGACGAAGGAAAGAATCCTGAACACTTCGCGAGAACTTCGTGTGATATCATACACTTGCTCTTGAAATTTCGATGTTTCATTTAAATTCAAGAAGCAGAGAAATTCAAAAGTGAAGAGAGTTCGCGAACATCCCCCTGCGCGTACGTTTCTCGTACGGACAGATATTAATCTCTTAAAACGAAAATAAATCTTGTTCGATCCTTTCACTAGCACCGGCCGGCGAAACGTAGGCGAATAAAACGGATCAGACAAATAAACGGGAGAGGAGGGAGAGAATAAATTAGTAATCGACAGTGTTCCCTTCACTTCTGAGAATAGCCGGCGTCTGTATTCCCTCCGTGTTGAGATTTATCTTGCACGTAGGTGTTTCATATTGAATAATAGCACTTGGTGTAATAGGATCAATTTGCATACGGCAATGTAGCCTTCCATTGTTAAATTATCTGACGTTTGTCATTGTCTTTTTTACGTGTACTCCTCGTACTCGCAAACGCGCAAGTATTGGAGAATTATTTTGAAACCTCGAAGCATTATTATTTTAGATTGCAAAGAAATTATGTACTATCAATTTGAAGCCACTTTTCTACTACACCATTTATATTTAATTTCTAGTAGTTTTGTTATTAATTCAGATTGTTGCTACAGAGAGTAAATTCCTTTACCTTGATGAAGTTTTCTATTTTTCGAAGATAGTAGAAATTAATAAGCCTTAACGTTTCTTTTCAGTTCTAATTTTAATTTCAGTTTCTTTTCAATTTCTGGGTTATTCAGGGGACACGTGGGGACTCGAAGATGTAGAACATCAAAATTCTCGGTTACTTTGGGGTCATTAATTTTTTATTGTTTCACATTCTCCATTAAGCTCGACACGACGATCACGGTAGAGAGTTGGTTGCCACGTGCAAAAGAATTTGCCCGCCCTTCGTGCTTAGCTTCTAAAAGATTCTGCGAAGGGGAGAGTAATGAAACATGTTCCAGGCGTCGTCGAGTGAAAAATTACAAAGTGGAACACGCGACAGAACGAATGTTACGAAATTACAAAGGTACCCGCAATTGAGAGCCGAATCTCGGGTAATTAAATATTAGTGTGATGTCTGAGAAATTAACGAGATTCTCTTTATATCATTCCGAGAAGGAAATGTCGATTATTCGGGGTGGTTGTTAGAAATTTCAAATTTTTTCTCTTTACAAAACTGTTGTTTTGCCTTAACAAATCTTCATCTTTGCATAAGTTATATAAATTATATTTCGTATACGTTTTTGTAAAAGCGATTCATATACATGTTTAAATCGAACTTACTTGGATCTTACTTCGGGAAGAACACTGAATAGAATATTATTACAAAATAGAAATTGAATTGATTATGAAACTTTGTTCTTCGTCATTGTAGTAGCATTTTGACAGTATTTTACAATCTCTTATCATCGTAAAACCTTTTAAAACTTTTAGTAATTGGTGAATTTATAATAAAATAGAATTCGATATAACATCACATCATCTATATGTATATATGATATACATAGATGATACGTGATTAAAAGATATTTTTTTTTTAATCATGTATAAAGAAAGAAATCAATTTTTAATCATTTCGTACATAAATAAATTAAATATGTATTCAAGGAGACAAATTTCATATTTTATCAAAGAATCACGCATACATGGCAAAAATTAATTTAAATTTAAAACCGATCACACTTGCATCTACAGTTAGTTTAGTTAAGAAGCAAAATTTAAATTTAAATTTAAATTTTTCCAAAAACCGATTGTCGCCAGTTAAGGAACAAAGATATCGAATCAAATATCTAGTGCGATGGGAGAGGACGACTCTTGAAGAAATAATTCGCGTGATCCATCGCTAGGGAAAACTCGCAGCGAATTCTCCTCTGAGCCTTCATCTATTTACGAAACACGAAAAAGGTTTCATTAGAAAGGATCCAGTGTCCCACGGTGGAAAAAAAAGCGGAGTGACGTTCAAAATTGCCAGCGTGTTTACCCAACTTTTCTACTTTTCGTCCCGCCGTCCCTCGGTTCTCCCGCGAAACTCAAAAGTTCCTCTGCTCCGGCTGATTTTTTTCAAACTTCCTTATTAGCCAGATCCGACGAGGATGGAAATGTACGAATGTCTCGAAGCTCCTGGGATTTACGTGGAACAGAGAAGCAAATTATTCGTTGGAAATAAGAACAACGCAAATTTTCGTTGGAATTAGAGAGTCGAGTCCCTTGGAGTAAGAAATTTCGGCTTCCGGGGGAAATCGTTTGAGATTCCGTCGACTACACCCGCACTTCAAATATTGATTTTGCCCCGCGCT